TGGTGGGAGAGGGACCTTCTCTATATCAGAGGACTTGAGCTGCACCTGGCCCTTACGCTTTGCTTTGCTCTGGGTGGCTATGGCACAGGACCCCTGAGCTTATGTGGAGTGCTGGATGTCAGAGCTGGGGTACCAAAGGTGCTGCTGGTGATGGCACCCCTCTCTTTAGCAGGGGCCTGCAGTGTCCCCTGCTGCTGACTGAGGGGGCACTTGTGGCAGAGGTGCTCCAGCGCCTGGCACTGGAAGCGCCTCACCTTCCCCACTGAGTAGAAGACCCATTTGGGGGGCCCCTGGAAAGGGACAGTAAAGGTCCCCCCGTCTCCATCCCCAACACCAGCCGGATGGTGACTTGGTGGTGGAATGATTGGATCTGGCAGAGGCTGGGGTCCTGGCACCCCACTGAGAAGGTGGTGACGAGGGAGAGGACTCTCCCCAGGCCCTGCAGAAAAAGGCATGAGGGCCCAGTTTGTGATGCAGGGGAGGATGGGGCTGAGGACCACCCAGGTGCCCAGCTCTTCCAGGAACTCAAGGGGGATATGCTCGCCCCCCACTGTCAGCCCATTCTCCACTGCCTCCTGCATGGCGCCCTCTATGGCAAGGTAGAAGGCACCCTTGCCATAGTATCTGGAGGCTACCATGATCTTTAGGACCCTCATTGCCCGAGTGAGCACCTGCACATATGTTTCAAAGGGACGTGGCCTTTTCTCAGGTATGTTGTAGCGCGCCCCATGGTGCCTACTGATGACAAGGAGGGGGCCCAGGTTGCCTGAGGTAGTGTAGGCAGAGGCGATGGAGGGCCCAGGCTCTGAGGTGGCAGGTTTCCTTCATGACACCTGGGCATCACTCTGGCTGCTGAGCTAAAAAGCCAGGCTTGCAGCTGAGGGAAGACACAGTGAGTGGGGTACCTCTAAAGAGGTGTCGCTGGTCCCTGCAGGTGCTAGTTTGGCTTTGTTCGTAGGCCCTTTACCTTTCCCTGTGGACGAGAAGGAGCCCCTTGCCTTTTCCCCTGCCCTGATTGGGTTTGGGGGAAGATTGGTGCAGGGGAGCCATCTGTCTCTGCGAGGTCTGCCCCAGCTCATTGGCTGTCACCTGGTTGGGGGCCACCAGCATGGCAGCACTCTCAGGGGACTTTTGTCCTGCCATGGGAGGCTAGGTGAGAAGGGGCCAGGTGCAGTTGGAGAAGGGGAAGATATGTACTCCCTCACTGCCTAAGTGGAAGAGAGTGGCTTGATGTGGGGGGATCCAGGGTTCCTCCTCCAGCTGCACTAGGTGTGGGGGCTGTGTGGGGGAGTGGCATGCATGTGAGGGGCTGGGGGTTAAACACAAAAAGACATATAAGAACATGCACAAGAGGGAGGGGGAAAGCACACCGCTTGCTTACTCAGCCATAAAGAAGACACCAGAAGAGGGGGAGTGGAGCACAGGATTCATCGCAGGAGGTTAAACACAGGGGAGCTGCTGGAGCCACTAACAGGAACGTAGATGGTATTGTGGGGCCACTGGCGTTGTGGGGTCCCCTTTTGATACAGCCAGCTGCAGCAGCAGGTGGTAGCTGGTGAGGCAGGAGGCCTCCCCTGCCCCCAACAGAGGAGTGGGGATGTAGGTCTAAGCCGGGAGGTGGTGGTAGAGAGACCAGGAATTTGTGCAAGCTCATCAGGCTCCTGCTGCTCCCGGGCACAGAAGCTCCAGCAGCAGGCACAGGGAACTGTAGGCACCCGCTGGTGGTCACAGGAGACTAGGCAAGCTGGACCTAGAGCGACCAGGTAAATGGCAGTTCTTATTTCTTATGTTGTTAAAGGTAGGCAGTAGAAAGTAATAACAGAGTGCTATTATACTCAGCTGGCTGTATCTTATGGTGTCTGAGGAATAAATTTGATCTATTAGATGTCCCCCATTTCTTAGATCTTCAGTTAGAAGTAGTGGTACCAAATTTGACAGCATCCATGTTGAGTACTGTAAGTCACAATTATAACTAGGCATCTAAAAACCACAGCTCATATTGCTGCCTAAAGAGAAAAGGATAATTTCTTTCTATCTCAACCACACAACATAATACAACTGAAGCTGACAGTCAAACAACTCTGCCAAGAGAGTGGGGAAGAAAGGAGAGTCATCTTGTACCATGACAGCAATAAACTGGTCTGCTCTTGAAATGCAGAAAGTTGTAATGGAGGTACATATTGACTTTTATCTTCCTTTCAGTGGGTAGAGTGAAGTGTCAAGAGTTATTGCTTTAATATCAGCAGAGATGAGGCCATTTGTTGTGGTGCGTGTGTATCCAGGAAATCATTGCTCTAACCATGTTTTTAGAGGCTCTTCTACACTTTATTATATCTCTTTGCTGCCTTTTCAGCACACAGCGGTCTTGACTGGTCTAGTGAAGTGCCATATAGAGTACGCAGAAAGCTTTGTGCGAGATTTCTTCTTCAAGTGATCATTTCCAGTTCTAGAAAACCACAAGTGGTCCAATTCTATTCTCAGTTACATTGACATAAATAAGTTTAATTCCACTTGGTGCATCTACGTGTGAAATTAAGGTGATATAATAAACTCTGGAACAGTTCGCGCCAGCGTACACTGCTCCCAGGTGCAGCATCTACACATGCACCTGGAACATCAGCACTTTGAGCCAGGGTGGAGTAGCCTCAGGCTGGCATCAGCCTTGGGGGGTCAGTCCCAGGGTCTGGATGGCAGCACTGAGCAGCAGAGGGGCTGTCTGGGGCGCAAGAGTCCTAGAACTGCAGAGCTGTGTGGCTAGGCAGGAGCTTGGCCCCCTGCTGCCTGGGCTACCTGGGTGCAATTTATACCCATGATCACAAGTTACACGTGCATTCAGTCGCACTTAATTACTCTGCCATATGATAGAATTGACAGTACTATCCTATGGAGGATTTAATTTGTTTACTGCATCCTAATACTGGCACATGTATAGACTGTGATGCTTTGCTGCAAAGGCAATTAGTTTACTCTGAAGTAAAGTGCACATGTAGATACACCGAGTCCCATACATTATGGCAGATCTCCTCCACTGTAGTATTGTGTAACAGCAGTATTTGGCCTATGGAATTTACTTCCCTGGGCAAGACATTTCTTTAAAATTCTTCTAACAGTCAGAGAAGTGAGTTGTAACTCTCTCACAATATCTGACAGACCCCAAGTCCTGGGGTATTTCTCCTCATGTTGTTGACAATTATAATTCATGCACCAGTCTTTCAGGGTAATAACTCAAGAATCCTACTGTTGACTGGAATTTACAAACTGTCAATGGGGGAGCGTAGTGTTAAGCCCTAGTTTGGGTTTAATTACTTCAACTAAACAGGAGCAATTTCCACTGCAATAATAAATACCTCCCCCAGAGTGAAGTAAAGTTCTGTGTTTTCACATCATGCATGAACAAGATTAGATGAAAAATATAGAGACAGAAAATGTAGGCAAAAGAATAACAAGGCACTGATGAAACCTCAATCAGTTAGAGAAATCATAAGATGTTATATTATTAATTTTGTCAGGATTTCATTGAACCTGTTCATTGCAAAAGTCAAGAATATGTATGACCAAGAAAATTTGTGTCAAGGAGGCAAGTGGACTCACTTTAAAATATTTCTTTTTTAAGCAGCGACACAACTTTTCCTATCTCTTTTGTTTAGGGTTAAAACTCACTGGCCAAATTCTCAGCTGATGTAAGTAGGTGTCAGCCAACTGAGTTCAATGAACACATTTAATGTCTATCTGCTAAAGGTCTGGCCCCTCATCTATTATAAAACTGATTATTTTGCTTTTGTTACTATCATAGTCATAGCCTAAAGGAATGGAAATAATTAATGGGATCTATTTCACATTTCAGTGTTAACATCCATTATTTGCACTTTACTTTTTATTATATGTAGGCCATGGCTATAAGGTACTCAAGTTACTGAAAGGCAAGCTAGGGTCTCAACTCACTCTTCATTAACTACTCCATAGTAACTGCTAACACTCTTACTTCACAGTAAATTTGAGGTACCTTATCACAGTTTCAGTGAGGAATAAACTACCTCAATTTACTATGGGATAAGAGCATGCATGTGAGTAGTTGCTACAGAATAGCTGACAGGCTGTAGTTCACACCACAGCTTAACTCTCAGTAATATTATTGTGTTCTTATACCCCATGAATGTTGATCAGATGGTTAGTTTCTGAACAATTTCATATCCAAGCTTTCACATAAAACCATTGCAATTTTTAATGTTACAAACATAATTACATCTGCACAGCTAAATCTATTTACACCAGCATTTTTAAATTCAAGTCCAGTGGAAAATCCTGAAGGGTAGTGTGGCACTCAAAAGTTTGCCTAGGTCTATCCCAACCATACAGTTAGTCCAATAAAAATATCATACACAAGAGTTCTTTTCTGCTGATCACATATTTTGGATAAAGTATTTTGGGAACATATACATTTTGGATTAAATGGATCTGACAGAGCTCCTATAGCATTATCTAAGAGAAAGCTATAACATCAAAAGGAAAAATGGCTCACCCTGAAAGCTATGCTCCATTGTCTTTTCCCCCATTAAGAACCTCACCATTGCAGAAATATATGGAATAATAATAATAATAATAATAATAATAATAATCTACACGCTTCTCATTAGGCTGTCATTGAAACACCCTAGTGATAATTTTTTCCACATCTATCAAAACTTGAAAACAATGTGGTCCAAATCCTGTTCTCATGGTGCAACGTCACTGGTAAACATTCAGTTGTGCTGGTATGAGAACAGAATTTAACCCTATTATTAAACACACGTGCAGTAAAAATGCACCCATTTCTGCTTGTTTAAACCATAAAAGCATCACATTCTGTGCTGATTTGTACCGTACACAGTCTTATTAAAACCTACCATTTTGTGGAGTACAATTCATCTGAGAATGCGACCAAAGAGGCTTACCAAATCAATCAACTAACAATTAAAGTACAAACCAGAACCCAAACAAATGGAGAAGAAGAAATGGCTCACCTGGATGCTAGGTGGGGAGCGGTTTTTTCGGGTTGTAGTGGTAGCCATGGTAGTGGTGGTTTCCATCACTGTGGTAGACATTTCTGGTGGCATGGAGGTTGTGGGTGTTGTTCCCAAGATGGATGGGACTTCTCCAACGAGCCGGACACTTCCATTAATTTTAATGTTGGGGTTGTTCTCTGCTGCCATATTCAGAACTTTCAAACCATTGTAATAGAGACCGGAGAGCTGGCCTTGAAAGAGACGTCCTCTGTCCTTCCCTCCAATGGCTATTTGCGCCTGGGTGTTGAAGATCGTTAACTGTCGTCCTAGTGAAGGGGGGGGGGGGGGGGGAAAAATATTGCCAGAAATTTTCTGCAATTTCTTACCTTGAACTGAGTCCTAACAAGAACAGACTGAAGATGAATGCAGGTTCCCTAGTTGTGGAGGTTAAGTAGTAGAAACAGTGTAGCAAATTCCTGTTTTAGACTAATTAATGGTAGAGGTAGTCCTGAACAAATGAACACTGGATCCTGAAATTCTCACTTCAACCCACAATTGAACCATGAGGAAGTTTTGATCCAAATACAGAAATCAGATCCAAATTTTGCAATTTGGGTCTATTTTTAATTACAAATAAAATTTTCATGTACAGTTACTTCCCTCTAGTGGCTTTGGGGGATGCAAAGCAACCTGGATCCTAACCCTTCTCAAGGCTTAACCCAATATACATGGAAAAATAGTCTGAACACTGACAGGTAAAAAGGGAGGAATTAACTTTTGGAGATTCTGAGAATAGGCAGTAAAAGAAAGATAAACTATAAGAACAGTGTGATCCATGGGCATCTTGGGGAATGTAAAAAAGCTTCAAGTAAGAGAATGTGACCTGGAAATTAGCAAAGGGGGAAGGCAAGAAACCCCAAACCTCCAAAAATTCCAAATATGAACATTTCTAATGTAATAAGAAACAAGGCTCTTAAAATAGTAAAAGGTGATTATTCTTCATTGTGCCCACCATGGAAAAGTTACACGTGAAACTCATTTTACAGGCAGCAAAACTAAAGCAAAGACAGGTTAAGTAACTTAGCCAAAGTCACAAAGGGCATTTTTACACGTGCTCTGGAAGGTGTGTAAAAGCCACGCTAATTAAAAGCACCCAAGCATCACATGTATCAATGTCCCCCACACTGAAAAATTGCAGCAGGGCACTTTGAACTAAAGGTCACTAAAGCACTGCCCCCGCCCTGCCATTTTCCAGTGCGGGGATGCTGATACACATGATGATAGAGTCTGCTAGGAGCACTTTTATTTCTGTGCTCCAGCAGACTTCATTAATTGAGTCTGCTCCGACACACTGGATTTCCAGAGTGTTGGAGCTGGCTCCCTGCATGTCTACAGGAGCCCATAAATTGGGTCATGTGTGAAGATGGAATATACCCTGGAAACATCAGCCAGTTGTCTTTTTCCCACAGAGCAGTCAAGTCACCCCCAGCCCAGAATGACTCAAGTACTGCCTGCTTTCCCAAACTACCCTAGACCAATTAATTGAAAGTATTAATGATTCTTCTCACTGCAAAGAAAATGGACAGTATTTTTCTCTCTGTCCAAAGTTTTAGAGTATGTCAATGGATCTACTGGATTAACAGGGAACCAAAGTGACCAGAATTCAGGCTAATCAAAGCAGAGTCAAACCATTCTTTACTAGATTATTCAGTTCTCTTACCCCTTTGCCATCCATTTTTACAATATTTGCAGTATTACACCATCCCATTTCCTCTACTCACCACTCATGTCCCTCTTTCTCTAGTCCACCCTGATAAGTAGTGTGGAATACCACCGTGTAGTAGAGCAGAGCCTGTCTCCCACTAATCATTCCCTCACAGCCAGTGGTTAAAGCAGATCAAAATAGGAGGGGGAGCTCACCAATTTTGGTGGTCGTCGTGACGGGTCTCGAAGTCAAGTGGTGATGCGGTGTTGCATCATCTTATGGTGACAGGATGAACCATGGGAAAGAGAATGGGGACAAGAGAAGAAATGTATCTGAAAGGAGTTTCTGTCCCCAAGGAGGGCCCTAGCTAGCCAAGCAAAAGTGTATGCGTCTGTGTGACATATGGAAAGGTGGGGGGTGGGGCGCACCTCCCTAGCGCTCCTCACACACATACCTAAAAATGCCAACATTTAAACTTGACCAGGATGGAGGCTTTGTATTGATGAAAAGCAAAAAAAGTAAAAAATGGAGAGAGTAGCACATCATACCTCTGAAAAATCATGAAACTCCTGGTGCAATTTCTTGCATTTCAGGAGGTTTTAAAATTTACCAGGGGAGAACTTTTGTCCCATTAAACCAGAACCAGCTAAAAAATGAAAACAGGGCCCCACACTGTGCAAAATCTAAGTAGTTTATCCCCTCTGCTATCTCTAAGGATACTGGGCGCCTGCTTGTATCTCCCATCAATATTCAGCTCTCTTAAGCAAGTCTCTTCTTTCACTGCATGTTAGGGCAAATGGTAGCATGCTTTTGGCATCAAAGCTTCTGTAAAGCAGCTTAAAGCCTTGTGACTGACCAGGTCTCCTGAGGGGATTTTTTCCCCCCAGCCTCCTGATTTTACATTGCTCTACCCAGACCCTGAGTGTTTCAATTTTTCCCATGAGTCTCTTGGCGATTGTTTTCCCTTCTCCCCCGGCCTATATCTTGTCCATTTCTCCTCCCTTCTTCACTGATTTCCCTTTGGTGTCACACTCTCCCATTCCCTTTCCCTTTCCCTTACATGGTAGTACCAGGTGAGGGAGAGGAAGTTGATAAGGGCTGTCTTGCTACTCTTGTGATCTTTTTCCTCTGAAATGGAGGGATTTGCTCTTAAGGAAGCAGTCATTGCTGTTTCCCCTTGTCTCTCTAAAGGGGTTTCCTTTATTCCTTGTCCCTCAACCTGAAGGAAGGTGGGGGCTGGCAATATGTCTGATCAGACCACAGCAATGGCACATAGGGAAGACCTTTTCCTTTCCTGTCAGGTGTTGTTCCCTCTCAACCTGCTTTCTTCAGTTCTTCTAGCTCCTCCTGCCCCTTGGAGTGGTGAATAAAAGTTGAACTCTCCAAGCCAGGGAGGGAAGAGAAATGAGTGCTCTCTCTGGCTTTAGCAAAGGAAGTTTGCTGCACTCATCACTGGTCTCCCTTTAACTCATAACAAGTCCTCCCAGCTACATGGGACACCTCTGCTCAGATGTAACATTAAAGAGTCATCACATCTCCACACCTCCTTTCTATCCTCTAATGTTTTAAGATAACCTATCCTAGGGAGGTGGCCCCATTCCAGGAAAGTGGAACTTTATTGTTTTTCCCCTCTTGAATAACAAGTTCTTCAAGTCCAAGAACTGAAGACAGTGCATGCACCACATTACACAGTTACTACTGAACACAGCACTGGTGCTAAAGCTGTGTTTGCTAAAAGGACAATCACTTGTGGGATTTATCTCTGAGGACTCACCCCTAACCTACAACTCTGCTATGAGATGCACATAGTTGAATGAAGACAGCAGAAAAAAAGTGAATGAAATGAAAGAAATTTGTTCAAGAGAGGAAATGTGTACAGTCCTAGTGCTATATCAGAACTACCCCCTCCACCATTTCTTCTATGACTTGAATCAACAATCTTCATTAGTGCTCAGCATAACTTACTCATACAAATAACCCTACTGACTCCAAAGGGACTACTCATATGAGTAAGTGATACTCTGCAAGCAAGGGTTGTAGACTTGGGTTCTTTTTGTGGACTTGGGTCATTTTTTCCATGGCCAAGTGAAAGACGACAATGGTCTAGTTATTAATTGGAGTGAGTGTGTGCGTGTGCATGGTGGGGGGGGGGGGGGGGGGTGAGGCTGGCAAATATGTAAGTTTTCAAATTGTTTGGTAATTCCCTTACAGAGCTCACATTCTTAAGTCTCTGTAAAAATATGTTTGGTACCTCTTTCTGATTTTTATCCTCAAAGGATAACATTTTTACAAAGGCTCTCCCCTAGCTGAAAACAGTAGTGAGAGCTTAGGAGACAGTTTCTGCTGCACAATGCTAAATCAGATTTGGGACCCAGTTTTGCAAACCCCAGTTCACACAAGCATTTCCTGCTTTTAGGTAATTTAAATCAGTGAGTTTCCTCTTCTGACTAAGAACTATTTGCGTAAGTAAGGGTTTCCAGGATCAGTCCTTCTGTTGGAGTGCTTCTTGCTATTATAATACTTATTTCACAAACAGGACAATTTCCTGTGTGCATAACCTTCTCTATTGTAACTCACCAAATACCTGAGCACTAAGAGGCTCAAATGCATCCAACCACCCAACTTTTGTCTTGTTATGGATATTTATATCAAGGCGGTTAGGACTAACCCTTCATTTTCTACACACACGTAATTATAACAGTAAAGGTAGCAGTATTAAATATTTTGGCATCCTTGGGTCTACTCACATGATGAGATTTTGTAAGAACGGGCACTCTTTGTAGGATATTTTTTAATTCCAATGTATAAATTAAAAAATTAAGAAATAATATAAATGTGGTTCATTTTCAGCAGAATTTCTATTATATTAGTTCTTCAAGAATGATTTACATTTTCATTCTGAGTAATATGCCAGGGGTACCAAACCAATGCCAAATCTATGGTATTAAAAACCATGCTAATTGCAAATTATTTAAGCTTACCTCATTTGTGCCAATCATTTACACCTTGCAGACAGCTACTGTATATATTGCCTCTTTTACCAATCTATCTATCCCTCCATTCATCAAATTTCATTTTGACAGCTAACTATCTTCCCTTTTACCCATCATCTTTACGTGGTCTTCTGACATAGGACTTTCTTGATACATTAGGAAACAGATGAATGAGTGGGTGAGTGAATAGCTGGGTGGTGGGGTGAACTGCTATTAATTCATTTCACTAAATAGTAACTATGTTTTTTAAAAAGGATACATCTCTTGAAGTGGTGGAACAAAGCTATATTCTATCACGTGTCACACTGTGCATAATGCAAATAGCTCTGACTGAATTTTCTTTCACTTCAGCAAAAGCATACCTATATCATTCTAGCTCAAACACACTCAGGGGTAGAGTGTGCCTGAGTTCTCAGACACTGTCTGGCTTAGACCCCATGCTCTCATGTGATTGTCTTTTAACAAAGCATCATCATCCACAGAATGGCAAACCCCAGTTCAAGACTTCAGAAGGTTTACAAATGGAAATGCCTTGGCATGCTTTGAAGCTCAGACTTGGAGAAGCAATGGCATAAAATAAAGGACTCCATTCAAAACCAAAAGACTAAATAAACAGAACAAAGACAAATTTCTCAAGCACACGAGGTATATCATAGAATCAGACATGCATCTGTTTTAAGAAAAGTGAGGCAATCACTATCTTTAGTGTTAAAGGGACTTTATCCATTTACCAAATGAAGTCACCAAAACAAAATTATACACTTTTTAGTGTTAAACTTTATTTGTTATACTTGCATCTCACAAATTTCTAGGGGAACCAGTTGAGACTCAATGAGCATTTTCTATATGCCTTAATTTCAACCTCTCTTTACTGGTTGGTTGGAGTGAAATGTTCTGTAAATCTCTACAGATCAAGAGACATACCTACTTTGCCTTCCTAAGTGAGTAAAGTAAATGGACTAATGGATTAATACTGCTCTACAAATACTGTTAAATGGACTAATACTGCTCAACCAATATTTCTCTTGTAATCACAAAATTTACGGTAAGGACCCAACCCTGTAAGGTGAGGGGTACTGTCATATCTCACTGAGGTTAATGGCAGTTGCAGAACACTGTGACAGGACAGACCCTTAGCATAAAAATATTTGGACTGAAGTTAGTCAGCCTCTCTGAGTCCTTGCAGAATTCAAGCTGCCTACAGTAATCTGCTAATGCAATTGAGAATAAGGAAATACAAAATATAATGCAAAGGGTATTTGCCCATCTTAAAATATACTGCCTTTTTCTTTAGAGAATTTTGGTAAGATCTACATGTAAGTCAACAAAGAAAATACAAGATTTGAGTTCAATGGTCACCACTTTTATCAGAAGTATATTATATAAAGGAAACCAGAGAAGATTGCATTCTGCTTTTTCTAAATTTCAGTGATGGCAACATTAAAAAAGTGATTTTTTTTAATTATCAAATTTTGGCTGCAGGGAGATTTCTTTGCATTTTACCATACGTTCTCAGATATAACATGCACCTTTCCCTACAAAATCAGCACTCTGATATTGTAGTGCATATTTTATGTGGGGAAGCTGTTTTCTTCACTGGAAAAGCAGCAAGCCTCAAGACACTGCATGCCACGCAGTTGGTAAGATGTCTGCCAAAATGGCAAAGTCCTGTGTTAACTCTCCCACAGACATAGCTATTGTCTGAACTCTACAGCTTGTTCCTGAAGCAGTGAGCTGCTGGTAGTATCCTGAAGAAGTCTGAGATATAGAAACAACACTTTCGTTGTAGGAACTTATATATAAGAAACTACTTACAGTAAGGAACTAACACCCTAGCTACTGCCCTTGGAAGAGTCCGGGGCCTAAACTTGTGTGACAGAGAAATTCCTCCTGAAAACAGGCTAAAACGGGATGTTAGATTTACCCCGGGACAAAGCCTTTAGCCATATAAACCCACTGTCCCACCTGAAGTACCTGTGAGGTATCTGAAATAACACTTTTTTTCTGGGACAATCACAGCTCATTCAAATTAATTGCCATTCATTTCCAGGGGCAAGTTAAATGTGTAGAGGGCTAAACCATGCTCAGGTTTTGACTCAGGTAAATCAGAACCACTTCAAATGTGATGTCTGTTTTTACCCAGAATGTCCAGGAAGTGCCATCCCAAGAGACAGTCTGAGAGAGGCAGCTGGCATCAGGAATTTCCTGGTGCAGCACTTCCGGGACACAGCAGGATCCCAAGATGACCTACTCTGTCACACAGTCAGCCATGGCTGTGGAAAAACCAATCTTATGTCCTACATTTTGTCTTTGAAAAACAAGGTGTGTGCTTTATTTGGAGGAATGTTGTATGTGAGAAAATATGGTAACTTCCAACATATTATAAAGGGCTTAATCCAAAGCCCAATGACATTAAATGTAAGTTATTCCACTGAATTAAATAGGATTGGAATCAACCCTGTATCCAAGAGACTTTTTCCAAAATTTTCAATACAGAACTAATTCTACCCCAACACGGGCCCCAATTCAGCAAATCACTTAACTATGTGCTTAAGAAAGTCTGAGGTCAACGCTCTGAAGTTTTTTGCTGAATGAGGGCTAGGTCCCCCATGCAGCTCCATGGATGTGATAACACTGGCTGGAACATAAATTAGGTAAAAATTTGACAAATTACAAAACTAGTATAAAAAATCCAAAATTCCATGTCAGAAATCCTTTTAACATAAAAACAGAACAAATCCTTTCTCTGTCTCCTTTACTGTCATTTAAATACAAAAGTTAAAAAATGTTTTCCCTCCAACATTTTTTAAAATTGTTTAATTATGTTAAAACAATTAGGAGACATGCAGCCATAATGGCTAACCATACTGATGAAGGAACGGAACTTACAGGAAGTGGTTTAACAAGTGGGTTTGAAAAACACTTTTAAGAAAACTTTGATAATAAAGATATAGATGTAGTTTAAAAATAAATTAAAACAGGAAGATCATGCAGTGGTTAAATTGCCATAATACATGTTGTAGCATTTTTGTTGTTGTTTGGGGTTGGTTTTTTACGCGGTTCCGGAATTTTTGCTCATTTGTTTGTCATCATGTTGATAGCAAGCTTAAAATTTTGTCCCTTTAACTGCATTTTAATAGCAATGTATTATAGCATGATTTATCAACATATGGCAGGTGGAAACTGACACAAATTATAATGAAAATTAAAACAGTTATTTATGCAGCAGGCGATTATCATTTAAGAAACATTTATTTGCAGGCTTTAAAAATGAGGGTTTAGAATCAAATGGGTTTAAAATGAAAGTTTTAATGACTGTTACCTTTTTCCTGCAGCCACTCCTCTACGGGCCGGTTATATTTGAAGGGGATTTTCTGTTTTACCATTTGGAACCGTTCACTATCAGTGTTGCCTTTAAAGTTTAAAAAACAGCTTAAAAACAATCTGAAAAGTCAATGAAATAGTTAAAAACATCCTAGATTTTTACTTTGGTTTGTTTTTATGAAGTTATTTAAGTAGTATACATAAAGGAAATGTAGATAGAGAGAAAGCGAGAAAGAGAGCATTTTATCATCTTTATTGAGGTAGAGAAAAAAGTTACTCATTCATTGCCTGGAATTCTGGAAAGGTCAAAGTTTTTAAATCCTAGGAAAAAGATTTAAATATTTTCCCTCTGTTTCCTCTCCTGTTACCTTTTCCATATTGCTTAAAAGCCATACATAATTAATTTGGGATAGAAAGCACTGGGCAAATTGGTGACACAGGTTGAAATTCTGATGGAACATTATTACTGGACTCTAACACAGAGGGCAGGACATTCAGCCCAAGATGCCAACTCCACAAGTATGCAGCCTCAAGAGCAGTTCTGGACCCTCTGGTGGTGGGCTGGGAGAAGCATACAGGTGAGATTAAAATACATGTTTGGGAGGGAGGTACAGGACAGATCACTGGTAAGAGGGGAGAAAAGAATATTATGAAAGAAACCGATGAAGAAAGGAATTGAAGAGGGGGAGAGAGGAAAAATAGCTGGGAATACAAAAAAGATAAGGATCTGGCAAAACAAACTGCCATGAAGGATGCAGTTACCAAAGGTTTGGGCCTGCATCAGCTGAAAGCAGAGATTTTGCTATTAACTTAAACAGAAGTAGGGCTAGACCCAAAATGGCAATATCCATAACTACACCATGACAATGAATAATAGTGTTGACAATACAATGTATTTTGTAGGGCAGCTTTTAAATACTCTGAGACTACGACACATGAAAAAACAGAGATGGACATAACCCAAACCCTGGGTCCTAACTCCTTGAGTTTTGGGACCAATTAAATGCAGATCAGAACCACAGGGTTGGGATCATTTCTGGTAAAGAGAAACAGAGTTGATGACACTCAAACTGATACCAGTGCAAGCATTTTCTCATTGTTTTTCCCTCTTTTCCAATCACAGCCAGCCTCTGACTGTCTGTTTTTTGTTTAACATAACTCAACCTAATAAACAGTCAACTGGTTCAAAATCAGTTTTTCAGACTTCTCTTTGGGACAGAGAGAACTACCTCCATTAAAAATACTACAGCAATCTAGAGTAAGCACCATGTTCACTGCAACAATATTACTGCTAACAATATGGTTTTGGACCACTAATCTAGAATGTTTTTAAGAAGTGGTAACTCAAGAATCAATAACCCTCTCCCTGATATGGAGACATTAGGTTTGTCTTTTTACTTCACATACCTTTCTGTGGCTACAAGACAAAGAAGAAACAAGGTAGAATGGCTTCACATTTACTTGTTTGTTCTAAATAAGATGCTGGAATCTAATATTTAAGTGTAAAGACATGACCTGAAAAAACTGTGTGAATAATATCTGGCAAGATGCCCCACCCTGTCAACAGCAGATACCTCCATGAAGGAAGACTGACAGCTAAGTCACACACATGCCCCATTACTCTTCCTACACATGCGCAGCTTGGAAATGCTGTCTGTGCAATGCGCTCACTCGCACATCTATGCACTACTGCTCTCTTTTGCAAACCCCTCCCCACCTGTGTAAGTGGGTTTGATTAAGTCAGAACCCAATGAGAGGGGGAGGACTACTAGGACACAAAGGCATTCATCTGGCCATATTTCATATGGAGCAGAAATAATATTTAGAGATTCATAAAAGAGTACTTGTGGGGGGGCGTTGTTTGGTTTTTTAATTCAGATAAAAAGGAAGGCAGCTATTTGGATAAAGTTAGCACTTCTAACTAGGATTCTTAGCATGTGATAGCTTGGTTGCTACACTGGAACACCGGGCAGACAAACGGAGATGAAAAAATCTACTTCAGGGTGATGACTGACTTGACCCCTTAGAATTACCCTGGAAAGTCAGTCAGTTTTCTCCCTGGAAAAAAAAGCCCTTTGTGAATATACATCAAGTCACAAGACTGCTACGAATACTACTCCCACTGAAGAAATTGGTAATTAAGCATAAACTGCTACATGTTACATGTACTGCTTGCTGTATCTGTTCTTCCATTCTAGACTCAGGTGCCTGCCACCCATAGTTAGCATTTTTGATTAAACTAGAAGTGTTGAGTAAAACATTAGAAATGTACTCTATCAATCATGTTGCAACTCACAGTAGCAACATAGCTTGGTGGCTAGGAATACTCATAGATGTTCAGTTAGCTGTACACATATTCCCGGCACTCCTAACTCATATCAACACCAATAAAATGTTCAAAAGTCAGTTCTTTACTTTTATGAGCATAAAACATGAGACGCAATCAGTACTAGGACTGGGAGATGACCTGATGAGGAAGAGCCGAGACTATATGTACAAGGCACTGTATATATAGACAGGCATATTCAGCAGTGGAACAAGGGGTTACCTTGCTATTTTAATAAGCATCTGGGCTAGGGACAGAAGTTACAGGTTTAAACCGGTTTATGTGTAACAGAACATAAGTTCAGTGACCATAAACCAGTTTCAAAATGGCCAAAACTGGTTTTGAGATAAACCTGGTGGAACATAGTATCAGACTTAACTGATTTGGGTCAAACCAGTTTGTGCAACTTCTGCCCCAGACCCCTTCCTGGTTTAAGTTAAACCAGAGTCCCCCAGCATCCCAGCATGCTTTTCAGCCCTGGGCTGGGCTGGGCTGTCTGCTCCAAAGAGCAGGACTGATCCTGCCCCTCTGTGCTCTAGCCAGAGGAGGGGCAGGGGCATAGGTAGATGCAGGCCTGGCATGGCCTCCTGAGGCAAAGGGAGCAGGGAGGGGTTTTGTTCTCCCCCCATAGTGGGGGACTGCAGCTGGGGTCTGCTTGGCTGGGGTGTAACAGCCTTTGTCAGACCTTCTTCCCCTCACTGCTCAGGCCACAGTGGAGGGTGGGGGTCCACAGCCTGAAGCAAACAGGGAGAGGGAGGGGGATTTAATTTCCCCTTTTATCCCCTGTCCTGTCGGCAGCCAGGGTATGCCTGGCCAGGGCCCGTGTCAGGTGTTCCCCACACTCCCCACTCCAGCAGCAGGGGAAGGGGTGTGGCTAGAGGCGACCAGCATCGCCCCACCATATGCCTGCCTCGCCCATGGTTGGGTCAGGGGCCGTGGGGCTGAGCTGGGCCTGCCTGCAGGTGCTGCTGAGGGTGGACATAGAGAAGCCAGCCTGGGCTGGGCTGGGCTGTGGGGACTGGGCCCTTCCCAGAGGGCTGCAGCAATGGCTGAGGCCACAGGGGCTACACAGCCAGATTGCTCCCACCTCCCCAAGCTCAGGCTGGGCAGGGCTGTCATGGAGCCACCACGCTGGCTGCGGTGGGTGGTTGCCAGGCTTTGGGCCCGCTGGCGCCTCCAAGTTGCCCTGGGTAGCACACTACCTGGCCAGTTGCCACTTGTGCCACTGAGCCTAGCTGTCACAGAGCCACACCTGGCTGGCTGAGGCCCAGCCCGGGCCAGCCCTGCTGGGCCCTTCCCAGCTAGCTGTGACTCCATGACAGGCCCAACCAGCCTGTGTGCACGGAGTCAGGAGCAATCTGGCCATGAAGCTCCTGCAGTCCCAGCCCACTGGGAAGTGCCCAGCCCCCATGGCCCAGCCTGGTCTGGCCCCTCTGTTTCCACCCTCAGCAGCACCCACAGACCAACATGGCTCAGCCCCACAGCCCCAGCCACAGGGCCATGCTTGTGGGCTCTGGCCAGGCTCCCCTCCACATGAGCAGCGCGCAGGGAAGAAAGCCAGGCAGAGCCCAGGTCAGGTCCCCATGCCTGAGAGGGAAGACAGGGGAGTTTAATCCTCCTCTCTGCCCCGCTTCTCCTGCAGCACTGTGCGGGCCAAGGCCTGGCTTTGGGGACAAGCCTGGCAAAGGCCGATTCCCCCTCCAGGCACACCCCATCTGGGGTCCCTACAGGCCAGAGTGGGGGTTTAAACCCCTCCCCAATCATACTTTGCCACCTGCCAGGGGCCTGGCCATGCCCCGCCAGATCAGCGTTTCTCCAGCCTTGCTTTTAGTTTGAGCCACTGCAGGCATGTGCCTGCATTTCTGGAATCAAACGTGAATGTCTATTCACTTGCAAATCAGTTCAATCTATGCAGGTTAGACTAACCTGCAAAAATTAAATCAATTCAGGCTTGGGCTTTTTGAATGTCTGTCCCTAGCCCTAGTGATTAACACAGACTGAACTGATGTACTTAATGCCTTGCCAATCCTGGAAAACTCAATTCCTTTGCCAAAGGATTATATTCCTCATCTGAATATCCTCACATTAGAGGGGCAGAAATAGTAAAGTATGGTGGACACTCTGGAGACATGGGGAAAATATTCTTGGTGTCCTGAGAATAATAAAAAAGATAGGCACAATTAGGATGCACCACATATAACAGTTAATTTCCTGATACAGCACTTTTTACAGACAACTAGCAGAGTGATTTTTTTTTCTTCATCGCGTCTTTTATCAACATATGAGTCATCTTTCTCTCGCTGCACTCGCTATATTAGTGATCATATGTGTGACAGTGCATCCTCCTTAAGAGATGTTGGGGTTGTTGCAGCCAGTAATGAGTATGTTGAAATTTTTTTCCAAGTACAGACTGAGCATGAATTGTGAGCCTGATCCTACAGCTATATTGCAAAGACAATGGGAAATTAGGGTTTCAGTAGGAAGTGAGGGTAGTCAGCCCCTTGAAGGATTATCAGATATTAATATAATACCATAATCAAAGAAGTCTGAAGTTCTGAATCTCCCACTGGGCCAAATAAATGCTGCAACCTTTATATTTTACTAACTGCCAAAACTCCCATTGATTTCCGGTGGAGTTCATGCAGGAAATGTCTTACTGCAAATAATGAAAGAGTTTCAATAGTAAAGAACAAGTAAATGTTAAAGAAGCATCTAAGAATTTGGCCAAATGGGGAGTTGTAGACATAGCACCCCTTATGATT